GAACAAGGACTGATCCAGAGATGGAGAGGCATTGATTGGACTGTCGGGCTTTGGCGGGAGGGTAGGGGAGGGTGGGCGTAAGGGGGAAAGAGCAACCAAAGGACTTACATGCAGGCATAGAGGCCTAACCAATGGACACGGACAAAGGGGGGGCGGGGGGTGGAGGGTGATGTGGGGACAGGGACACATATGTAATATCTTAATCAATAAAAAATATATTAAAAAAAAAAAAAGTCCCACTGATAATATCAAACGGAGTCATAAAGTTTTCTGTCGGACTCTCAGTGTACGTGTATACATTAAAAAATAAATTATTTTTCATCATCATATACTGTGTTTTTGTCGCTCGATTGAATTTTATTATTTCTTCAAGGTTCTTCACATACGTACACCTTAAGAGATATCAAGAAGGTGTAACATGTTCTCAAAAACTTAGGGTTGGCACGCAGAATTTTGAGTCAGAGATTTTGCTGGTTTTGGCACGTACTCACAAAAAGGTTGCCCACTCCTGCACTAGGCTGTAATGGTAGGCAGGCACCACAACATGGCAGGCCATTATTTTGGTCTTTTTCTTTTTTAAAATATATTTTATTGATATTTTACAGAGAGGAAGGGAGAGGAATAGAGAGTTAGAAACATCGAGGAGAGAGAAATATCCATTAGCTGCCTCCCGCATACCTCCTACTGAGGATGTGCCCACAACCAAGGTACATGCCCTTGACCGGAATCAAACCTGGGACCTTTCAGTCCACAGGCCAACGCTCTATCCACTGAGCCAAACCAGTTAGGGCCATTATTTTGGTCTTGATCCTAAGAACAACAGGAAGTAACTGAAAGGTTCAAAGGAAGACATGATCAAACATGTGCTTTTAAAAAATTACTCTACATGTAGCATGGATAATAGATTAGATACTAGCAGATCATGTTATAAGCCAGATCATGAATTATGGTAGTGACAGGTGTGCTGAAAGGAAATGGATGGATTTAAAGTATATTTAGAAAGTAAAATTGTCAGGACTCATGATACAAATTAAAAAGAGGGGTAAGGAAAAGAGTTAAGGAAGACTCAGGTTTCTGGCTTGTGCAATTAATGGATATTGATGCCATTCATGAAGATAGAAAAAAAAAAGGAAAAAAAAGAAAAGACAGTACCAGGTCTGTTCATAATAGAAACCTGGAGAAATAAATTTGGGAATAGTCATAGACAGATAAGAGTGAACAGAGTGGGAAGAGAGGGTGGCTTAGAATAAATTCTGAAGATCTTAAAAGAATGAGCTTGCAAACAAAACAAAACAGAAAAAAACAGATACATACTAGAAGGATCATTGGCTCAGAAGAAATAAACCTAGGGAAGAGAGTTTTGAAGAGCAACAATACAAGACAGCAGGCAATTGAATATTATAATGTGCCAAGAGAAAATAACTAGTTATCAATTTAATATCCTGAAAAAATCTTTTAAATGGCACAAAACAAAGACATTTTCGGAATAAAGAAAAAAAATATATATTAAATTTAAATTGCACTTACACTTAGTGATTCATCAAAGACTCTCATGAGTTTTCCAGTTAAAAACCTGAAAATCCTAACTTTTCTATCAGAACCAATTGTAGCTATTTTCTTCCCATCAGGTGAAAAACATATGCTGGTTGGATAAGCCTTGCACTTGGCAAATTCATATAAATCGGTGTCAGTTTTATATTCCCAGTTCACATTTTTTGGGAATTTATATTCATGGGGTGGCCCAGTCCAGTATTCAATCATTCCAGATTTGTCGGAAGACACTACTGCTTTGTAAACTGGGTTTAGCCGTATTTGAGTAAGAGGTGACGTATGGAGTTTGTCAAAAACATGAAGTGGCTGGTTATCTCCTCGACCATCATAAATAAAAATTTTTCCTGTACTCTTCTCAGAAGCAGCAACTGATGATATGGCATCCCCTGGGCAATAGATCCATTCACACTGTCCAGGAAAATAGCTGAAATAATAAAGAATTGAGAGAATATGAATACAAGATATAAGCATCCCTTCCTACTCCTACCACCAAAATATGTCCTGGCCAGTGACCAGTGATTTGGCTAGTTTTGGATTCCTTGCTCAAAAAAGGCAGAGAATTACAGAATGGGGAGGAACAACTAAGGACAGTTACTGATTTTTCTCATTCTGACCTCATCAGTGCATAGATAATAACTTCTGAAGATCTACAATCTACTAGAAGAGAATTGCTATAGCAGACCATTCACTTCTCTCGAGTAGAAAAGGAAACCTAACTAGACCTAGGGCTTAAGATAGTTTCGGGCAATGCTTTTTGAATCTCTGATCTCAGTCTATATATAACTTACTCTTAAGTACATTAGCATGAACAGTATGTTATAAAGCCATCCTCGAAATATTAAAACTCAAAGTATTTTAGTTATGACTATGTTTAAAGAAAATCATGCTTTTATCACACTCTCATAATTAGTAACTTGATATTATAACTACAAGCTTTGAACATGCTCCCTGATGAGCGGAGTATAAAAAAATGAGACAGAGTTAATCAACACACCAAACTTTTACACTCAACTGAGTGTTGTCTCCTTCAAAGTAATCAGTCTGAGAAGTTACAGTTATTCTAATGATGGTGCTGATGCTCAAAACATTTTTGGGACTCTTCTCTTAGAATTTCTATCAAAGCCTAAAAATATATTCTGTCAGTATTTGCAAAGGTGGCAAATGTTCAACATTTATGAATAGATTTGATTTTTAAAAATAGCTAACATGGGGCCAAAACCGGTTTGGCTCAGTGGATAGAGCGTCGGCCTGTGGACTGAAAGGTCCCGGGTTTGATTCCGGTCAAGGGCATGTGCCTGGGTTGCGGGCACTTCCCCGGTGGGGGGTGTGCAGGAGGCAGCTGATCGATGTTTCTCTCTCATCGATGTTTCTGGCTCTCTATCTCTCTCCCTTCCTCTCTGTGAAGAGATCAATGAAATATATTTTTTAAAAAAATAGCTAACATGGGGAAACAAAGCTGGGGAGTAAGACAGATGATCAATAGGTGTTTCTATTTGTAGTAAAAAAATAAGTTCTGACCATAAATGAGACTGATTTCCTTTAGTGGCTTGTACCCTGGTTTAATAGGAAATTCCAAAAGGAGTCCTGCTCTGTGTTGAACTACTGTTTTTCTTCATCCCAATTCATATGATGAAGCTCTAACCCCCAATGTAATTGTATGTGGCCACAGGGTCTCTAGGAGGTAATTAAGTTTAAATGAGGCCTTATGGGTGGGGCCCTACCCCCATAGGCCTGTGGCCTTCTAAAAAGAAGAGGGAGATATCATTCCTCCTTTCATCCCGTTCCCAGTGAAAATACAACGTGAAACACAGAAGAGAATTCACATCAGAAACCAAACCCTGCTACAACCTTGACCTTGGACTTTCCAGCCTCCAGAATTGTGAGAAAATAAATTTCTGTTTATGCCACCCAATCTTTGGTCTTTTGTTGTGGCAGTCTGAGCAGACAAAAACATGTCTCAAAACTGTTTTTGACAACTTTCAAGGTAACATTCATTTAGGTGTATATAAATGCAGGTGTGTGTTATCTTTAAAAAGACATGCTTGAAGCAAAGTATTAGTCTCATTACTGTACAGTTTAACTACAAAGTTTGGGTATCAATATACTTCAAAGTTTAAAATCATCAACAATTAACTTCTATTCTAAAAATATGCATTAGCTTTCTAAGAACAATACCACAAGTTTAACTCTAAGTGCCAATAAATTAGACACGATGGACCCTTGTTATTAAGCAGTGTTAAACAGATATAATGAATTCTTGTTATGATGCTGTTTGGAAATTTCTGCAGTGATTATGACAAAAAGCACAGCAGAAGCCTCCAAATAGCATCATAACAAGGAACCATTTCCCAAGCGAAATCCAAAGGTACATTTTTTAATGGAATGGCAACATATTCTGTTTAGAAATACTTATGGGTGAAGTTTAGTTTAAAAATTATTTCATGCCCTGCTGGTGTGGCTCAGTGGTTGAGCGTCAACCTATGAACCCAGAGGACCTGGTTCAATTCCTGGTCAGGCACATGCCCAGGTTGGGGACTCTGTAGGGGTTGCGCAGGAGGCAGGCAATCAATGATTCTCTCTCGTCACTGATATTTCTACCTCTCTCTCCCTCTCCCTTCCTTTCTGAAATCAATAAAAATATATTTTTTAAAAAATTAGTTCACTAAGTGAAAAAATATGTAATTTAAAAAAGACTCACCCAAGCTTCAGCATATTGATCATGTCAAAGTTCACTACATCAAACACCTTCATTGCTTTATCATCACCCACAGAGCAAAACAATGCTCCCTCAGAGCTAACTGCAATACTTTCAATAACTCCTGTTTAAATAAATAAAATTAAAACATTAAATACCAATGACATAAATGCACACAATTCAAAGGAAAAAAAATCAGTTTAAAAGAAACTTTACAGAGCTAACATCTTTATATTTAGTAGTAAGTATATCTGGAACTTAAAACACACACACACACACACACACACACACACACACACACACACACACGTTAGTACAGTTTAAGAGAGCCAAAAAAAGAAAAGGTGAAATTCTTACCCAGGTGACTGCGAAAATGTTTAACAAATTCAATTCCTTCTTCTACCTTTTTCCAGAACTTAACATGTCCATCATGACTGGCAGTGATAATAAAGTCTGTCCTGCACATATGAAATTATAAAAGTTAACATTTAAAACAAATCTATGAATCATTCAATATCCCCAAGCCCATCATTCTCTGAGAATCTCTGACTCTTTCAGAATAGGTTTTCAAAAAAATCTTCCTTTATGCTGGCCACTTTATTAGGATAGATAGAATATTGCAAATTTTGAAGTTCTTTTCTGGATATCGTAACTAATTTTCATCTTAAGACCTAAGCTCAGAATTGAGTTGGGACTTGACATTAAAAAAATAAAGAAATCTCACTGGGAATTACTACACCTTAAGAGTATTTTAATGTTAAAATTACCCTACAGGCTATCGTTTCATAGGGAAAAGGTTCTATTTTTCAGAAGTTCATAAATTAAATCTCCACATATTACTTTCATATACAGCAAAATTCAACATAAGTTTGTTTGTATTCTATGCAAGGTATTTTGGTTGTTTAAATTATCAAAAATATAGTTAGGGGAAAAATATTTTGTACAGGATAATCTTGTCTGCAGGTGTATAAAAATAGAAACCATTTATTAAAACCTAGTATGTGCCAGGTACTTTACACACATTACATTATTTAATCTTTACAGGAACTCTATTAGTGTAGGTATTTTTTATCATCATTTTATGAATTAGAAAATAGTTTGAAATGTTAAATGTACTTTTCCTAGGTCCACAACTGAAGAGCGGCATTCAATGTCAGATTTGCCTAACTTCAAATTCTATAATCTTTCTATTATACCCTGCTTTTTTGAGCTAAAAAAAAAGCAAAACAAAAAATCTTGAGGAGCCTTGACAGTGTCGCTCAGTGAATAGAATGTCAGCCCGAGCACCGAGGTGTCACGGGTTTGATTCCCAATCAAGGGCATGTACCTGTATTTCAGGTGCGATCCCTGGCCTGGTTGGGGCACATGTGGGAGGCAACCAATCAATGTATCTCTCACATCAATGTTTCTCTCTCCTCACCCCTTTCTTTCTTTGGATTGGGAAAAGTGCTAATGTCTGTCAGAATTATTCTATAAAGGAAAAATAAGAATATTTTATATTACCACAATTAAAAATGATAATATTTTAATTACATGTATATCTTAAATGGCTTCCAAGAGATTAAGAATAGACTGATCCAAAGAGCAAAGTCATTCATCTACTTCTTTCCATAATCACAGCCAATATCATCCACGTCACCATCATATCTCATCTAGATTTCTATACTAGTCTCTTAACTGCTCTTACTATATCCATTCTGGCCCTATTTAAGTCCATTAATCTCACCACAGCCTGAGTGGTCTTAAAAAAAACAAACCTGATGTTACTCTCCTGATTACAGGCTCAAAATCCATACAAGGAATAGAAAACTCTCTAAGACTTAATCCTTGCATTTTTTGCTCCAGCCTCATCTGCCATTTCCTCACCTATGAAATGTAGATTTTATTACTACCTCATTAGACTGTTCTTAAGGTGAACGAAATAATTTATGAAAAAGCTTTAGAACAGTATTGGGTATAATATGCACTTAACATACAGTAGAATATTACTATTATGATGATTATTCTTCAAATCCCACTCATTTATTTTGAAGGTCCTGTGACATTTCCAGGTTGTCTTAGTTCTCATCATTTTCCCCATTAAGTACTGACGGGGCCAGCTACCAACTACTCCATCTGTTTAACTAATATGCTCTTCTTCTGGAAACCTCATTTTCTTTTGGCATTTATTTCCAAAAGACATGCACACAAACTGAGGAGTTATGTCTTAGAGGATGCATTCCTTGTGTGATATAGGAAAGAACCTGTCAGCCTTTAACTTAAACTTCCACTGAACCTATAAAATTAAACAGAAATCCATAATATCCTAAAGTTACTTCTATTAGTTCATGTCAAAATTGAAGCATTTAAAAAAAATCTTTTCAGAGAATGTAAGAAGATGTGATACACTTACTTGGTGCACACTACATGGGTGATAACATCTCTATGCATGTAACTGCGCTCGTACATAGATGCACTGGGGAGATTATCAAGATAGACTCTTTCAAACTCTAGAACTGAAAAAAAAAGAAAAAATTATTTTTAACAACTGGAGCTCAATACTATTTTGTATTTTCTAAATTCCATGTTGTCTTTTCATCTAGATTTTCTTGAATTTCTGTCTATTCCACATGTAATAAAAACAAAAATCCAGTGTCTCATGTCAGTTATAACTTTTATTATTGCATAATATTGAACAGCACTAATATTTAGCCAGTCACAAGTTCTTAGGTAATACATACATACTTAAATGTCCCCAAAACTTAGGCACTGAATGACTGGCTTAATATGAAGGTTTCCTTCAAAAACAAAACCAAAAACCTTAAAAAGCATCATGAAAATACCACAACCATTTTTCTAACCACATAGACCCAATTATTAGTGCTAATTTAAATATTAAGAGGCCAGTAGCCATCTATAAAATGTCTCAGTTTATCTTTAAGGCACTAATCCTCTTTGAAGCAATATACTGGTTTTTTTTTAGAGTTTAGAAAACCCTAGAGCAGCGGTTCTCAACCTGTGGGTCGCGACCCCTTTGGGGTCAAACGACCCTTTTACAGGGGTGGCCTCCGACCATCGGAAAACACATATATAATTACATATTGTTTTTGTGATTAATCACTATGCTTTAATTATGTTCAATTTGTAACAATGAAATTGGGGGTCACCACAACATGAGGAACTGTATTAAAGGGTCGCGGCATTAGGAAGGTTGAGAACCACTGCGCTAGAGCGTATCCAGTTGACTGCTTCCAAAGCACTTTCCAGAGGCAAAACATTTTTAAGAGTGATGATGTGAGAAAATATTCATTTCATTATATGAGCCATAAACAATTTTACAGGTAAAAGATATTATATGTGTACCTAACAAAATAATCCAATGACTATTTTATTTACCCAAAAATGTCCACAAAGTTGCCAAGTAAAATGAGCTATTTCAGTTTTTTTTATAACTACTGTATATCAGACTCAAAGCTGTGTCCAACAGATTACTTTTCCCATCATTTTTAGTAACAAAATCCCCATTTTTATATGAGCATCCTGACATCTAGCTATAAGATAACCTTTCTCACCTTCTCCTGCAGTTAGGTATAACCTTGTAGCAATGAGATAAAAGTGGAAATGTTGTGTCACAGTCAAGAATTCTTCTTCAAAAGGTGTACCCTTCTTCTCTTCCTCAGTCCTACAGCTTGGAACTGGGACATGAGCACCATAATTCTAATAACCACTCAGGACAAAGGTGAGGGCCGTTCCCTAGCGATGCTGGGGCAGAACACTGGAAAAAGCCTAGGTTCCTTTGGAGCCTCCATACCAATCCTAGACTATCTACTTTGGGACTTCTTTTACATATGAGAGAAGTATATCTTTATCTTTTCTTTTCTTTTTTTTTAAAATATATATTTTATTAATTTTTACAGAGAGGAAGGGAGAGGGATAGAGAGTTAGAAGCATCGATCAGTTGCCTCCTGCACACCCCCTACTGGGGATGTGCCCGCAACCAAGGTACATGCCCTTGACTGGAATCGAACCTGGGACTCTTGAGTCCACAGACTGACGCTCTATCCACTGAGCCAAACCGGTTAGGGCTATCTTTATCTTTTCAATGTTATTTTGTTGTTTTCTGTAATACGGAGTTAAATTTGATCCTATCTGATACACATGCCTTTTGCTGCCAGTTAGTTCACTTATTGAACAGATATTTATTGAAAATAAATTCCAAGTCACATGGAATAAAGAAGAGTAACACATAGTTCTGTCCTTGAGAATCCACTAGTGTAATTAAAGGTAGTGCCATACAATCTATAATAATAAAAGCATAATATGCTAATTAGAGCGGATGAACTTCTGGACAAAGCCGGGGCTGCGAGGGAAGTCTGGGTCCCACGTGCCAGAGGGAAGCTGGTGCCAGCAGATGGGGGAAGGAAGGCCTACTCCTGCAAAAATTTTGTGCATCAGGCCTCTAGTCATTTATAATGTCTTTCTGAAAATGTATTCAAAAGTCCAATATCCAAACAATGTGTTAAAGGAAATGGTTCCATTTCTAGAAGGCTAAATATATTATTCAACTCCTGTACTTTCAGACAAAATCTTCAATGATATTTTTGTTGTTGCTGTTAATCCTTACCCAAGGATATTTTTTCCACTGATTTTTAGAGAGTAGAAGGCAGTGGGGTGGGAGGGAGGGAGGAAGAGACAGAGAAACATCTTGGTTGCCTCCCTTTGGCGCTCGGGGCACATGTTCTAACCACTGCACCACCAGCCAGGGCTTCAATGATTTTTTAAAACATTTCATACATCTTTGAAATTTCAATTTTTTTCAAACTGAATACACTATGGAGTGACTTAAATACAATAAGCATCTAATTAAGGGTGAAGATTTTCACACCTAATAATTTCCGTATCTGTCTCAATTGTTTTAAGTTTCTAAGATCATTGTCTCCTAATAATAATATCAGCATTTTGATATTTTTGGATCTCCCCCCACACTTATTTTCTATAAAAAAGGATGTGCAAGAATATTCTAATTCAATAAAATAAGTAAGAGCATAAATACTGTAATATTTATTCATTCAGTAAATACTTATTGAGTACCTGTGATATGCAAAGCTATGCAGCAAGATTTGCTCTTGTATGTTTAGTCCTAGCAGTGGAGAGAAACATTAATCAATCACATGAATAAATATACAATTTCAAAATATAAAACGTGCAATGAGGAAAAGTTATTACAGAAACATTTATCTGGAAGCCGTGGCAATTAAAAAAAAAGGTAATAACACTTTAAGGGTGTCAATGTACAAGGTTAAAAAAATAGCTTTTTTGCCCTAGTCGGTTGTTTCAGTGGATAGAGCATCGGAAAGGATTCTGGTCAAGGGCACAAAGTACACCCGATTTGTGCCCTTGGCCAGAGCACATGCAGGAGGCAACCAATCGATGTGTTTCTCTCACATCGGTATTTTCTCTCTGCCTTTCCCTTTCCCTCTCTCTTCCACTCTTTCTAAAAATCAATGGGAAATATTCTAGGGTGAGGATTAAAAAAAAAAGCCTTTTCAAAATTCGGATACATAAAATTTGAAGACTACCTGTGGTAAACATGATCTCAGAGTTATTACCAATGCGCTTTGGAAACCCAGCCCAGACTGGTGAAGTCACAGGCTTCCCCGAGGAGGTGATATCTGAGCTGAGTGCAAAGGGCTGAACAACAACAACAAAACGTTAGCCAAGTCAAAGGGGTGAAGGTAAATATTCCAGGTAGAGACAGACACCAAGATACTCCAACAGCCATCCAGCGGAGAAAGTATGGCCCACGTGCACAGGAGAAACGACAAGGGGTTATTGTGGAAATACGCTGGCCAGATAAGGAGAGAGGGAGCTATTGTGAAAGGCCTTGTAAGCCATCAGAGGGAGTTTAGACTTTATTTTGAAAATAATGAGAAATAATTAAGGAGTTAAGTAAGGGAAGTGATCAAGTAAGATTTGAATTCTTAAAAGATCACATTTTAATGGCCTTGCCCGTTTAAGGAAACATTTCATAGAACTTGAAGGAAAAGAAAATGCAATCTATTCCTTTACTCATTTCTTTTGTTTGATACCATTTTCTCACTGTTCCACCTTAATAGCAAAATGCTTCATGTCCTGGTATGTAAGGAGTAAGGTTTGAAAATCACAGACCTCATGTTTTAGATGAAAATATGTGATCCGGGAAACTTTTACCCCTGGATCACAAAACTCATTAGTTGAAGAGTCAAGGGTAGAACCGATCTTTGCCTACGTCCACTTGATGATTCTAAATACCCCCGCCTCGCGTCCCCATGCCTGACACCGCTCCGGAGCTGAACGCCTCTAAGAGACCCAGAACTCCCTCCCACAGCTCCTAACCGGAGTTATAGATCCCAGCCTCCTAGGGCCGCCGTATACAGGGACTACTCGAGCGGTGCCAAGAACATAGACAGCCCAGGCATAAATAAGCATTAGCATCTACATAACAACTCGGTGATTGAAAGTATTTGACATGATCGGAAAGACGCTGTCCTGCGTCCGAATCATTACTTCGGGGGCACGCACAGGCCCAGAGTGGCCAGAAGCGAGAAGACGACCCTCGGTTCCGAGTGCACAAAACCTCACAAACACACCAGCGTCTCCGGGCCTGGCTTTCACGCCCCCACTCGGGGCGCGCAGCAAGCCCACCCGCCCCGTGCCAATCCCTGCCACTACCTTTCCTCTTCTTGGCCAATGTTGCCTCTACCGGTAAAGGCCCAACCCAGCGCTCTTCATCATCCTCTTCGTTCCCTTGGGCCATGGCGACGGCCACTGCCGGCTCCCTCTCTTTGCGCTCCGTTTGCTCCGGCTCCTCCGGGTCCCGGCGCCTTCTCCGTCTTAGCTGGGAATCGCTACCCGCTTCCGCCGCCATGTCGCCCGGATCGTCAGAAAAGGCGCGACGCTCCCAGCTCAACAACCAATCCCCAGGCAGCGCAGCCGGCTAGTCAGACGCCGAGAGAGGCTCAGGATTGGCTGTGACGGGTCCAATCAGCAAGCAGCGCGCGCGGATCCCGGGCGCAGGCTTGTTGACAGCTGGAGGCGGCGGCTGCAGGGCTGGGGCGTCAGTGGTAAGAAACGGGCCGGGGCGACCGCGCCAGCCGGGACCCTGACCTCCTGGGAACCGGCGCGTGGAGCCCCGCTCTTCGGCTCTAGAACCCCGCGGGTTAGGGGAGAAGGACGGCGCGGTGGGGAGTGGAAGGAACGGGCTCCCTGGGCTCCCGACAGTGCTCCCAACAGGTCCTCTCCCCAGAGCTGCTCGCTCCTCCCACACACGCTCCGAAGAAGGTGGCGAGCGCTGGCTACTGTTCTCTGGGGAGAGACCCAGCCCTGCCCGAGTGGCCCACGGCGGGACCGCTCCCCCTTCCGCCGGCACCCTGGCCTAGGCTTACAGCCCTTAGTGGCCTTCTGGACTTGGCTCTCTTCTTTAAAAAAAAGAAAGGAAATATACTGCGGTTAAAGACAAACACCCAACATGACATTTACCATCTTAATCCTTTGTTTTTTAATCCGTTAAGTACAACAAGTTGTCATTTTAAATCACTGCTTTTCAAAAAAAGCCTACTTAGCAGTCTCCTGGTTACCTACTGTATTTCATACTAGATGAATCTCTTCTTTACTTTTGCTTTGATGTGGACCCCAGATACAGGAAAGGAACTGCCGGTAGTAAGTACTTTCTAAGGGTTTTTGTTTGTTTTGCTTTTAGTTTTAAAGACTCCCTTTATCTGGCCTATTCTACCTAGCTGGTCTCATTTCTTCTCTGCCTTCTGCTCTAATCAGATCACTTTTTGTGTGTGTCTGATTATCTTCATTTTAAAGAGAAGGAAACATGGACAGCCAGTTTAAGTGTCTTGCCCAAGGTCACACAGCTTGTAAGTAGTGAAGCCAGGTTTTAAACCTAGACAATCTGTTGAGTTACACTTACTAGTGTAATTTTTTTTTATAAATAATGCTGCAATAAGCATACCCATGCAGACTTGTGCAAATATAGGGTGTCCCAAAAAATGTATACACACTTTTTAAAAATATACATACTTTTATTGATTTCAGGCTGGGAGAGAGAGATAGGAAGATCAGTGATGAGAGGGGATCATTGATCGGCTGTCTCCTGCACGCCCCTCACTGGGGATAGAGCCGAAATCTGGGCATATGCCCTGACCGGGAATTGAGCAGTGACCTGGTTCATAGGTCGATGCTCAGCCACTGAGCCAGGCTGGCCAGGCCAAAACTGAATTCTTAATCTTGCTGAATTTGTTTCTTCCACCATCTTCCCCATCTCAGTAATTGGCAACTCCATCTTTCCAATTGCACAGGTCCAAACCTTTTCAGTAATAATTGACTCCTCTCTTCATTTTACACTATATGTAAGCTGTTAGGAAATCCTACTGGCTCTATCTTAAAAATATATTCAGAATTAGACATTTGGTACGGTCTCAATATTAATCCTTGGATTATTGCAATAGCTTTCTAACAGGCTTTCCTGCTTCTGTCCTTACTTGGCTGTAATGAACCAGAGTTATACTGTTAAAACATGATTTAAATCATGTCATTCCTCTTTAATCACTTACGATCTCAACCTAAGTCCTTAAAATGGCCTAGAGCCCGCATGATCTGTTATCATCTCTCTGACCTCATCTGGTGTTCTCTATCTTCTGCCCAAGGCCTTTGCGCTTCCAGGTACCTCACCTGGATCGTCATCCCCTAAATGTCACCAGATCGCAATGATTTCCTTTCTGTTTTTGCTCAGTTCTCAACTTCTCAGTGACTTCATATGGCCTCCTTGTGTAAAATTCCATTGCCCCTTCCTGAGCACTGGCTATATTCTCTGCTTTTCTTTTCTTCATAGCACTTATAAATCATTTGATGTACTATAGTATGATTTTTTAACATTTTTAGACTTATTTTTGTTTTTCTTAGCTAGAATGTAGGCACCATCATAGGAGGGATTTTAATCTATTTTGTTCACTGTTACACCTTTAGCTCCTAGGTGAGTATCTGGCAAGTAATAGGTGTTCAACAAATATTTTTTACTTTAGGTTTTCTTATAAGGCTAAGTAAATCACAAGGCAATGTCAATGAGTAACCAAGATCTAGATCCAGATAGTACTACAGATGAAGATATTACAACTGCTAAGGAAGAACTTATTAAAAAATGTGAAGAAATGTGGAAAGATCTGGAAGAAGTAAGTATCAAGAAATTAAAGTGATATATCAATTAATTACTATAAGATTTCTATTTCAATAATGAACTTGAGAAATAATTCTGCTGATTCCTGAACGTCATTATATTGTACGATAAATATTTATATGTTTTAGACCTATAACATTCAATGAAGTTTATACTAGATGAACTGTAGGAAGAGAAAAAAATTATATCAATCCCTACCCTCAAGGAGATTATCATCTAATGAAGGCAGTAACCATTATATTAGAAATACAAAGACTGTACTTAAGACTCCTAAACCTAGACTGAAAGGGTCAAGGATAGTGTCCTGAAAGAGGTAATGACTGAATTCATTTCTAAAGGATTAATAGGAGTTAGCCTGTGAAATTGGGAGAGGTATACAAAGTAGAAGGAACAAAATATATAAAGGTTGAAAGAGTTTACTGGTAGAGAACTCCATGTAGACTATTATGACTTATGTAAATTAGGAAGAGAGGACTTGTGAAGTGAGACTGGAGAGGTAATTAGGGGCAAGAACATGACCAGACTTGTTGAGTGTATACTGTGGGGAGCCATTAAAGGATTATAAATATGAAGTGACATGATGAGATATATAGTTTGAGAAAATTACTCTGGTGGTTTTGAAGGAAAGTGAGACTACAGGTAGAAAGAGCATTTAGGAGGCTGTAGTAATCCTGGTAAGAAGTACTGAAGGGCTAACTCCTGTCATTGCAAACAGAAGAATGGATTTAAGGGATATTAAGAGGGTAGAACCAAAAGGATTTGGAGATTAATTGTTGTGAAATGGGGGAGTTATGGATAGTTTCAGGTTCCTGGCTTGGGCCAGTGGATGATTAGTGAAGTTACTTCCTGAGATAGAGAATATAGAAGTTAGAGGACACCCAATTCTGGAGTTTGAGTAAAAGTACAAGTTACTTTAGAAAATGTTATTTTTGAAATTTATGTTTTGTTTTGTTTTAGTTCATGAGATAGAGTCACTTCTGGTACACTACAGTATTTTGGTAAAAATTTGTTCTACTTGAAATAGCATATGATAGTGTATCATAGTATATGATGCAGGCTACAGCCATTTTTCACATTCTATTCTTCCCAGTAAATTTTCAGTTGGAAATTTAAAAAAGAGAGCACATATTTCGTTAACTATCCTGTAATCCAATACCCACCTTACTGTCTCCCACCTCCATATACTTTCCATCCTTAATTTCAAATGCATAAAAGAAGCTACAAAATTGTTATTTTGTAGAACATTTGAGATTTTGCTCCACGGCCTATGTCATTATTTGGCTCAACTAAACTCTTATTTAAAAAAAAAGATATTGTTGCCCTAGCTGGTTTTGCTCAGTGGATAGAGTGTTGGCCTGCAGACTGAAGGGTCCCGGGTTTGATTCTGGTCAAGGGCACATGCCTGGGTTGCAGGCTTGATGGGTTGCAGTCTCGATCCCTAGTAGGGGGTGGGCAGCAGGCAGCCAATCAGTGATTCTCTCTCATTGTTGATGTTTCTATCTCTCCCTCTTTCTTCCTCTCTGAAATCAATAAAAATATATATTTGTAAAAGATATTATTAATAGAAATAATCACAAAATTTAAATTAATCATAATTTTGTTCAGATATACCAGTAATTGCTATTAACAGCTGTGGATTTTTTTAATGGCACAGAAAGAACTGTCTCTTAAAGGCTTTATTTTCTTATAATCATAACTGTCTTCTTACCTCTTTTGTTATTTTCCTATTGTTATTTCCCTCTTGTTCCCCATTTCCCGTTATCTAGCTTCTAACTCACCCTAGTTTTCATTTTTGTTCTTTGTTCCTTTTTCCCATACTAATTTTTTAAATTCTGTATAGAGTCTATATACCCTTTTACTTTTAATGTCTTCATCTTGGGACCAATTTGGCTGCCTTCCTTACCCTCCTGCTTAGAAAGTGAGGAATTAAAAACAATTTGTTGTCTTACATCAGGTAATTGTATATTGTTTTAAAAGAATATGATATTGACTGGTATAAAAGGGGAGGGAGAGGAAATCTTGGGTTATAGTGTGACTTGTTTTTCTGTGTTTTTGTTTTTTACTTTTTAAATCAAGTATCAGAATAAATTATCACTTATTGGAACCGAGACACTCACTGATTCAAATGCTCAGGTATGAAACCTTCCTTTCTTTGAAATTCATTGTTTTGGATAAGAAGTTTATCTGTCAAGTATAATAGTTTTGTTAATACCTGTATGCTTAATCATTCGGACAATTCTCTACTTTTTCTGATTTAAGAGAAGTATTTTAAAAACTATCTTGAATAAGCTATTATAAATAAATAAGAATATTTTCTTTTTTATCTTTCCACAGCTATACATACATTTAACTGTTGAGTCAATTGCCCCTTGGCTGCTATTATGGTACTTTGTTAAAAATTAGAACAAAGACTTTTCTACTTTGTGTTAGGTACAGTAGCCACAGGTATTTTACTATCTGTATGGAATCGTAGCTGATTTTACCGAGGCTTAAAAAAGGATTAAGATATCCATTTTAATAATCAGAGACCTAGGGAATTGGTTTAGGAATACACCAAAGGGTCTTTGCAACAGATTAAGAATTTAAAATAACAAAGATGATAGTTCCAATGTATGGGAAAGGGATGAATTAGTTAAGGAATGATAGTGGTACAATCATATTTCATTACAAGAAAAGCAAGGAGACTGTACAACCTAGTGACATGG